CAGTAATACTTACTCCCCAAAGAAGGTACATGCACACAGCCTCCACTGTGTTTTATAAATATCAGTTTGAAATAAAATGTTCAAAGTGCTCTAATGATTTAAGAGCCTATATTCTGTTTGCAAAACTAATGTAAGCATTTACTGACAAAAAAGTAATGAAAATTCACAGGGATGTAGGAGGTTTTGAAAGCACTGTACTTTAGTAGTGGTTTGTACCTTGACCATTAGGAAACTGAGAAGGAAGTGGCCTGATCCAAAGAATAAATACGCACAAAGATAAATAAACATAATGGTTGAAATCCTTTTTTCAAAGGGAACCCTCTGAAACATACTTATAAACTGTCATACCTTCAAAGGCATGTTATATAATATTTTATTATAATGAAAAATGACTGTAAACATCTCCCTCATTTTACATCAATTACAGAAAGGTGTTCTCATACTTTTCGTATTGAATTTGTTAATTCTCATAAATTCAATGTATGGAATATCTTCACATTATAACATACCAGATCTCGCATTCAGATGCAAGAATATAAGCAGAGAGGTTACTTCCCCAATTCCAACTGGGGAAATTAGCCCTTACATGATGCAAAACATATTGTTTCATTCCAGAGTTCAGTCCTGAAACAGAACTAGGTTTTCCTACCCATAAAAGTATTCAAAAAAGTTACCACATAAACCTCTGTATTTCATCACTATTTTCCCACCGGAATGTTCTGTTTAGAAAAAGATAAAAACTTACAGCATTTACTACAATATAAAAAGCCAGCTCCAGAAGTTGTCTATACATAGATGGGAATGGAATATTGAGTCTATATATTAAGAATGGCAAAATAAAGTAACGAAATTCTAGCAATTTTTGAGGAACTGTGACTGCTAATAAACACACAAAATACATTAAGATCCAGAATATCGATTTTGATTTTAGTGTATCAGTAAAAGTCCAGCCAGCAAATATATAGAATGGAACTAATACATATTTTACAAGTTCGTGCCTTTGGAACACTTTTCTCCACACATAAAATGTGTAATGTCTGTTATCTGCTAGTAAATACTTATGAACATAGGTAAATTTCCAGACCAGGAATAAAGAGATGATGGTGATTAAGCTGTACTGCACAGGGTGCTTTCGCAAGGACAGAAGGAACTTCCTAATTTTAGTAGGGGTCAATAAATGAGGGAATGAAAAAAAAACAGTAAAGGACAGAAAATAGAACAGCTGAGGAAAGTGCAAACAGGCTTCATGGCTACTTCTGTCACCAACAACTATCCCACCATTGATGAAGACAAAACCAAAGAAGACAGTTACTAATGTGATGTATGGCCAAGTTAAAGCAGTAAGTGTAACTAAGTTTTTTGGTGATATGAGATATTTAATAAGAAACTGCAATATCCTGGTCAAATCTGAAAATGATCCTTTCTTGGAGGAAATCTTTTCATCTTTCTTCTTCTGTAATTCAGTCTTCCAGGCTTCATTTAGCTTTTCTGCCACAACATTTCCAGCACAAAAAACTGTCCACACAATATTCGTCTGACGAAACATGAAGCCACAAAATCCCAGGAGAGCTGATGTTTTATGGTTACCATAAAGGCACATCAAATAGGCAAAGAGAGTAAAAAATACTGAACCTGGATCCGTATAATAAAGGAATGTAAAAAAGTAAAGGGTGGGAAACATTGCAAGAATTAATGTAGACAAGATTCTCTGGAAGCCAGACACAGCCTAGAGAAGAAGCAGAAAAATGTGGTTAGCCAATGTCCAACAAAACAAAATAACAAATTAAAATGTGTATCATTCTTGAGAATTCCATTAACACAATACAATATCTCCTATGCTCTTTGGTTCCATTACTGCACAAATACTCTATTTGTGTTAATCTCCTGCAACATTAATATAGTACTGGACTACACAATGTTAAAATCCAAGTTAAAGTACAGAACATTACTGCAGGTCAGTTAAAAACATGGCAACAGAAATACACCAACTTCTTTCGTGTGTCAAGGGTGCAATATTTGTGGTATTAAAATCATGGTGGGGGCATGACTGGTCCCATACCGAGGATAAAAAAGCTACACTAATGGGCAAAAGAAATAAAATCAATGTTTTATGCCCCTGCAATCTCTTAATTGGATTCTGCTTATCTGTGAGACAGCACCATTCTATGCCTCTACTATCACCTCTTTTGAACCCAGTCCGTGAGTGGCCAGCTCCAAGTTTCTAATCTTCAGTGAAGCTTTTATTGTTTATTCTCATTATAATTCATGAGTTAGAAAAGAAACTTTAAAAAAGGTAGGAGACCATGCAGTTAAAACCTACTCCTAATTATCCCTCTCACTACATGATGCAACATACATCACAACATTAAAAAACGTTGCATGATGTTTCTGAATGATCTAGCGTGGGGTGAAACAGCCACTTAACACCTTAGAGAAAAGAGGAATAGACAAAATGTTGAGCTCAAAGAAGTGCCAAAAATACCACTACATTTCCCAGTGCTTAGCCTACTGTAATAAAATCTTTTTTCACATTTATATTTCCACTTCCAAGTATAAAATTAAGTGTTCTGAAGATTGAAACAATTTATTGGATCTGATCCAGTTCTGTACAGTCTTATCATGTGCTTAAACATGAAGAGGCTCCTGTAAGAAAATACATCAAAAGAAATTTTCTTTTTAGAAAAAAATGTTTTTAAGGTTAAAAGTCAAACACTAAATAACTTTGCTAACGTTAAAGATTTTTGAATAGACCGTTAACCACTAAAACAATTTACCTACTGCAGTGGTGCATTCTCCAGAACTTTAAATATACAGCATTTCTGTATCCAAGTTGAACTGTTATGGTGTGGATGTGCGGATGGTTAGACAGGTACAAACTGTCCCACTGCGCCTAAACGACAGTAACAATCGGACTATCACAGGATCTATACTGGGACCTGTCCTGTTTAATGTCTGTGACTAGAAGGCAGCAAGTGTACACTGTCATCAAGTCTGTAAGTTGACACTATTGGGTCCAACTTGGGTGGGACCAAGTAATTTGCTAAAGAGCAGAGGTGCCATGAAGATTGACCCAGACAGGCTGGAGGAATGGGGCAACAAAAATATTACGAAATTCAGCAAGGACAAATCCAAGAGCCTGCAGCTGAAAAGGAAGAAATCCCCATAATGAGGAGCTGCTGCTCTGTGGAAAGGGACCTGAGGGTCTTCACAGATAGTGAGGTGAACATGAGCTGGCAGCATGTCCTCGCACTAAGGAAGAGCAACAGTCTCCTGGACTTCATTAACAAGAGTAGATCAAGAGAAGTTATCCCTCTTTACTCCACTTTTTAGGCTGTACCAAGAATACCACGTCCAATTTTGTGCCCTGATAAAAAAAGCCCTAGTAAACTGTAATGGCAAAGAGCCATCAAGACAGCCTGGGGCTGAAGAACCTGCCCTGAAAGGAGAGGCTGAGGGAGCTGGCCTTGTTCAGTCTGGAAAACAGATGGTCTGGGGGACCAAACGGCAGCCTACCAATATCCCTAGGATGTCAGCAGGTAAAGAGAGCCAGGCTCTCAAAGCGGTACACGGTGAGAGGACAAGAGGCAACAGGAATACACTGAAATGAGAGGTTCAGCCTAGATTTAAGGACAATCTTTTTCACCGTGAAGCCAGTCAGTCATGAAGCAGATTGCCCAGAGATGTTGTGTAGTCATCCACGGAGAGTTTTCCAGGCCCCAGTCCTGCCCCATCCCTGCACTGGGATAGAGGGTGGTCTTCCTAAGGTCCCACCCTCAATCACTCTCCAATTTTTTGCAACTTGAATTATTCTCCATTTCTAAATATTGACATCAAGCCTGGTATCGTTTTACAGAACTGATCTTACTTTAAACACAGCCCACAGGGCTGCAGGATTTGGCAGTTGAAGGTTTATGAAGAGTCTTAAGAAATTCCAACTAGATGAGCATTCAGACCTTTGGACAGTATGTCTGTATGCATACTAACTAACTTTTCTTTCAATAGGACTCTTCATAGTTATGTGCAAGAGTAAATTTTTAGAGGATTGCACCTTGAGCGAGAAAAATAGAAATTAAAAAAAAAAATGTAGAGAAAAGGAATGTGCCTCCTTGGCCAAACTGGTGGTAGTACTTACAGTCATATAAAACTGAGGACAGCTCACGTATGTAGTATGTAGTGAAGGGGACATGTACAAAGCCATTTAAGTTGCTTGTATGACTGCATAAAACTATTTTACTTGGACCATACCTTATTCTTCTGATGGATCTTGAACAGAAGCAAATACAGTAAGTAGAAGTTCCCAGCGCTGAAGAGCAGGTTGATAAACCTGAGCATTCCCACAGAGCACACCACGCTCCCGGTCCATCCGAGGAGCCACGCCGCGGGCTTCACTACCCCCACCGAGACCAGGTACAGGCCGGGCAGCGTGGTGATCATGGGGTCCCACTGCACGGCCGAGAGAGAGTGAGAGAGAGAGACAGACAGGGACAGAGAGGGTTATGGAGCAGCTCCCACAAGAGGGCCAGAGACGCGCGATGGTTGGGGCACACCACCCCCGCTGTCATTATTACACCGAAGGTTTTGAACGCTGTGTGCCCTGGCGCTGCTGCCCCACCAAGGGACAAAAGCAGCGTTCGGGCAGCAAGGACGGCAGGTGAGTGAGTCCCTGCGTTCGGACACCCCGGACGCCGAGCGGCAGCTACGCTGCTGCTGCAGGGATGCTGTAAGGATGCTGACCTGCAGGAAGCGGCCGTGGCAATAGGCCTGCGCCTGCGGGACGTGGAACACCTCGTCCATGTAGGGCCCGCGCTGGCGGCGGCTGATGGCCGCGAAGAGCAGGCAGGACAGCAGGAAGGCGCCGCTCATGGCCCCGGAGAAGCCGTAGGCCTCGGAGCGCTCCATGCCGCCGCCGCGCCGGCCGGGAAGAGGCCGCCCTTCCGGGGAGGGACGGCGGGAGGAGCCGGCGCGTCCCGGCCGCGGCCGCTGCCGGGCGGGAAGGGGGAGGTGCGAGACTGCGGGAAGAGCTGAAACGCCGGTCGGAATGGCTGGGTGTCGGTAGAGTCGTGTGCTCGGCGGGACACGCGGGCGCCTCTCCGTGTCCCCAGGATGGAGCGGACGCACCGGCTGGAGCTGTTCCCTAACTACAGCGTCTCGCTGCTTCTCTTCCGACACGTGAAAAATGCCGCTGCTCTACGGAAAAAAGCCATGGAAGGATCCATTGAAGGGGCACTGATAAACCCTGCCATGGTGAGTGAGCCTCTGTGCCGCCCTGTTTGCATGGAAATCCTCGTGGGAGCTCAGGGAAAAATGACCGGTGCTTGTAGCCGCTGTCTCACGACTTTATTGGCGTTACATTTCCTCCGCACTCTGCCCAAATGCCCCTTCTTTGATTTCATTATTGTATCCTTTACAATTACAGCGTAATTGTTCGTCTGTGTAAAACAAAGAGCCATGGTAGGATTGGCCAGAACAATTAATTTCACATCCTACTAAATCAATGGCCTTGATTAATTTCACATCCTACTTGGTGGAGCTATTTATATCTTCCTCGTGTGTAAAATGTAATGCTACTTGCTTCATGCTGTCAAATGTGTACTATTTGGAGCCTTTTTTCTCATTTAAACCCATAACTAGTTTCAGAATCTAGTCTTTTTTTTTTTTTTTTTTTGTTAGAATTAGGAAAGCAGTAGTTAGGGAAGGGGGAAAAGTAATTGGCAATTTATTGACAGAAGATTCATTAATGTGATACTCTTTTCAGAAGATTTCAGTAACTCTCTCAGATTGAGAGAGTGTAATCTTTATTTTTATGACAAATATTACCTCATGCAGGAAGTAAACACAATGACTTCAGAAGAGCAAGAATTACTAAAATAACGAGGAGGGTACTGTTTTGTTCACTTCTATGACTGCAGACTTAGGCGATCAAAATTAAGTGCTGAAGATTTTTTTCAGATTTCAAAACAGTATGTTAAACTTCTGTGTAACTGTTTCTATTGTATTTTACAGATTGTAGATCCTTTTCAAATTCTTGTGGCAGCCAACAAAGCTGTACATCTACAAGCGACAGATAAAATGAAGACCAGAACTCTCTATGCAGAAATTATTTTCAACCTTTCACCAAACAACAACGTAAGATTTACTGAATAAATTTCTTTTTTTGCCAGGGCTTACTAAGATCCACACAGCTAAACTAAATATATGTATTCATTTAACAGTTTACCTGCCTAGTAGTAGAAGTTACTGTTCTTTTTAATAAAACTAATATGATGTTATTGTTTGTACCTTGTCAGAATTGCATTAATGTAAAACGTTTGTCAATTTATACTCTTGGTGTGTTTGACCCAGTAACTAAAAAAATTGGTTATATGTAGTGAGAAAGCAACTCATAATATTTTGATATTTTTTATCTTTTCTCAGATTTCAGATGCATTTAAAAAGTTTGGCATTTCAGACAGTGACACAGCAGTACTCATTGTTCTGCTGGACAGCTACAAAACTGTAAATCTGGAAGATATAGCATCTCAGGTGGAAGGCCAACAGGTTCCTCTAGATGAACTCCCCCAGCTAACAGACACTGCCAGAGTTAAAAAGGTGTGTAGCCAAAAGAGAAGACTGGTGTAGAGAAAGGGGATAGTTTATTTAATTGTCTGATTCAGTATCAATCGACATAATTAACTTAGGATCTGTATTTCTTTAGCACAACTGGAAACTTGTTTTAAGTGAACCTTGATTAGTTATTTCTTAAAATTTTTTATTTGAAACAAGTTCTAGTTGTCACACCCCAACATCACAAAGTTTAAGTCTTCAAATTATTAAAATTGTCATAAAAATAAATTCCAGATGGCTGCCTACCATTCAGGCACTTTTGCTTCCTGTTTTCTCAGCCAAATATCCATTTATTCAAAAATGTCAGTACTGAACAGTTTCATAATCTTAGGCACATAAATAGCCCCAGTATGGGTGGCTAAAATAAAAACATGCTGATTAGCTGTTAGGAGCTGTCTTAGGGCATGTGTGCTCTTAACAGATTACCATATGCTAGATAGGTATCTTGGAGCATGATAAAATGCAAGTAACTTAAATCATCTTGGTCATGTACATCAAAGTAATGATAGGAGACATATGAATAAAATTGGACAAATCGTAGCATTTAACATGTGGAGCCAAAAGTGCTGCTCTCATTCAGTTTTTTTATTTCCTTAGTCTCACAGTCACAACAAGATAGGAATTTCCAATGTAAGAATGGGCGAGAGGGGAAAATTTTTTCATATGTATGTATTTTTAGAAGGTATGTGATAATTTTTTTTCTTCTTTATACAGCTTTTCTGGTTTTCTTGTCCTTTTTTTTCCTGCAGATATACAAAGTTACTCCGCAAGAAGAAAAAATCAGCACCTTATTGGATAGTGTTGTTTGCAGAATGGCAACAAAAGATGTCTTATGAAAATGTGGAAAGAAATTTTTTTAAAGGAAAAAGAACTTTTTAAGGTGTAAAATCACTTCATTGCAGTTCATCTTGCATTTCAGAGAAAGTGGAGTAGTAGTGACTAGTTTGATAACATTTGAGCTTTAACCAAGGTTGGTTACCAAGCTTGGTAATCTTAACTGTTTTCTAAGCACAGAGAGCAATTCTGCCATGCAAAGCAGAATTTGCTGTTGGCATTTCTGTCCTTTTTCTTGACAAGAGAAAATTGCCAGTACTCTAAGCTGAACATAAACCCTCCCTGATTTGTTTTTTTGGTACACCCGATGGATGATACCCTTTTAAGGATACTACTGCCAGAAAAGGTGTCATTATGGCCCAACTATTGCTGATGGACTAGAAAAAGGAAAGTTTCCATAAAATATCAGCAGCATCTCCCTCCTTGTGCTAACAGTATAGAGCATTTCAGTGTTGGCATTAAAGGATACTGAGTGGTGCTTTTACTTTACAGCACTGGATTATGCACGGTGATGCTGACTTCCTAGGGCCTAGTTCCAGGTGCAGAATTCACAGACAAATTTGTGCCATATTCACTTAAAATTGTCAATACAACTTACTTAGCATTCCGAAAAGATCACGGAACGTGTTTTGGTTTTTTTTTTGGAACCGATGTTAGGAAAGACCATTAAAGGGAAGTAGGGAGACTTGATTTCCAGTAGTCACCAGGTCCAAGAGCCCTGCGTGAGTATTATTTAATCACACACAGGCATCCTGTTTAAGTAAAACTGCTGTCCTACTTAGGTAGAAATCCATACTGTTTGTTATTGTTATACTGTATTGTTTTTGTGGGACATGCTAAAACTGTATAGTTGTCTGCATTTTTTTTCCTAATGTTCTTTGAGGTATTATGATTTGTGTACTTACAAGATATTTGGAAGAGTATGCCCCACATTCTTACACATAGCGTTTGGGATAACAAAATACATTTTGACAGAGATATAAGTGTGAGTTAGAACTGAAATGTTTTCCAGTACAGTAAATAGGCCAGTGAACTGACGTATAGACCTACTTTTGTCATGTTTCCGTATTTAATATGGAAATCCCTAGCTTCTGTTTTGCATTTTGATTTTATTAAGTCTTCCCTCAGTTTAAACCCAGGAGTACAAATACCGTATTTTTCTTACCAACCAGACCAATGGCAAATTTAGTTACCAAGTACCAAGGGAATTCCAGGATTTATCAAAAGAAAGGGTTCTGGAGAAATGGCTGTGCTGACTTCCTGCTTTAAAGATGGTTTTGCAGAATGCATCATCATCTCTAAAGGGATATGTGAGGCAGTAGTAAAAAATGGAGCTTGGAAGGGCTTGCGTCTTTTAAAAAAAATGTGTGTAACATCAGCATGTGAGAATGACCATGGAAAATAAAAGACTTGTTTTCATTTTCTGACAGTCCAGTTGGTACATGGAATATATCATAACATTTACTGGCTGAACTACAATGTTTTTGGTAGCCTAAAATAACAGCTGACAGGTTTGCTTAAACCACGGCCTTTTTTGAACATGTGTAAAACATCCATCCAGTCTCTTTAATAGAGGAGAAATAGTAATAAAATGATGACTGTGTAAAAGTTTTGACACAAAATTTGTAAAGTTGGGGTTACAGGTTCTACTTCTTGTTAGTCTATTTCATTGGTGTAGAAACATTAAATAGTTTGTTACTGTTGACATAATTTGGGAAATTGTGATTTCCTGTGAGACCCAAATGAGGTATTTTCATGGGTGGATTTGCAGGAAATTATTTTGGGAGCTGAAGCCTCCAAAGTAGCACTCAGGCAGATGATTTGGGTCTGTTAGCAATGAAGACTGTGCCCTGCAGGACCACAGGTTTCCCTTAGTCCTAGTTGCATTATCCAAGTTAAAGAGTTATTTACAAGAACTGGTAATAAACGTAGATTTTGTTCACCCTGCAAAGTTACTCTTGTCCTTCTGAACACATTAAAAATTAGTAAATTTGGATCTCTAATGTTACTGTTAAATCAACCAAGGCTGTTTTACAGCAAAGCAGAAGTTTAAGAAAAAAAGATAGGTTTTTCAAAACATTTAATGTTCTGCTGCTGCCGCCTCTGAACTTTCATACCTGATCTCCACTATCACAAGGTGAAAGAGGAAGCTGAAGGTATTTTCAATACCTTATCTGGATCTTCAGGGCTTCAAAGGTAGGATTATACCTGCAGGATTTATAAATATAACAAATCCAAAATTATAATGTGTGGTCAGTTGTTCTAGCTTTTCTTTTTTTTCTGCATGGGGTGGTTTTTGGAATTTGGGGGTTTTTGCCTGTGCTGCCTTTTCAATATTGCATATATGACAAAAGCTGAGAAAAACAGTAGTCTGTACTTCTAAATTCAATACCTTAAACCTTGTCCACCACAAAATTCACTTTCCTGCTTGAATGCTTTGCACTACATGAGTTTCTTGTGGGAGGGAGGGTGAAGGGGAAGAGGAGACAAGGCAAACAAGAAACAGATTGTACAACACCATCCTTTACAAGGACTTTGGAATATGCGGTAAAGCCAGCAGACTGTTGCTGTTTGAGTTAAAAGCTTTCAGCCCAAGTATATCTGACAGATGTCCAACTGCTGGCCTGTCCATCACAGAGCAGGTATACCCCTGGGCATAAGGCAGGAATGCAGACATACACTCAAGGAAAACCTTCCTGCCTGTCATGGTGGAGATGGATATCCACCCTTGGAGCAGGGTGTCCAGTAGCACACCAGGATTTTCAAGCAGACTTCACTTGCAGGCCAGAGCACGTGTATGGGATCACGTGTGTGTGGGATCACGTGTGTGCCTGTCTCATGGTTGGGTGAGTGTATGTTTTGGCACATGGCAAATCTCACAGTGATGTGAAAGAAGTGGTCAGAGGTTCTGCAGGGAGAGAGACAAGCAGAGGGGTGGCTGACTCACGTCAGGATGACTCCTGAGTGCTCTGTAGCCACATCTGCATGGCAGCACAAGCAGTGCCGATTCACCAGTGTGGAAGCTCAATTTGTGAGCTGCAGCCTGTACATCTCAGACTCTGCATAATGCTAGTAAAACCTGTATTTCTAAAAGCAATGTATGTTAGAACAAACAGCCAATCTGATTTAGAAAATCACGAGCGAAGGAAAAATGCATGCCGGTTGTCAGTGACCAGTTCCAGGACTGAATTCCCCTCACCATTAAGTGTGCCACCCTCCCCAGCTCTGTTCACTGGCTTCTTCTCTTCTGCCTTCATGAGATGCTTTACCTGTCTGGTCTTACTTTCAACGTCCTTCACAGTTCATATTAGTCTCCTATAGCCTAAGCTTACCTCCTGTGTTGAGCCTTCAGAGCAGCAGTCATTTTCAGTACCGCTCTTTGACCCATTGTCAAAACTTCCTTTCTCCTGCAAAAGCTTAATAATGGTGAGCTTCCAGCATGCTGAGGCCCATCACGCTACCCTGATCACCTGGGGATTCTCATCCTGCTGTCAGAATGCCTAAGCATTCTCATGTATTTAAACATTCTCATGTGTGTAAAAGGTACTTTTACAAGGGAGGGATCATCCTTTTGACTTGTAATATTAGTTCATGCTATACAGTTTATGATTGGGTTCCTGTGTTCTATGACTATTTAATGTACTAATCATCTATTTTTTTAATTATTCCTTTGTGTGCTGTTCTTCAAGGAGCATCATCAAAGCATTGCTCCCCCACCCACCTGCTGAGAGCTGCCATGGGTGTCTCTGGTGCTACACTGTGCTTTGAAACACTCCTAGAGCTATGCTGTGGAGGTCTTCTCAGAGGCATTTCAGTTTATGTACCCCTCCTGATTATGGGTGGATATCAAAATGGGATACATGATTCTTTAGAATTGTGTTGTCTACAGGTACTACGTAATTACAGATGTGTATTTATGTGAGTACTCAAAATGTCTTACAGGGTTTTTTTGGGTGGATACTCTTTATTAGTTTAGGCAGTGCTAAAATTTGGGGTTTAAACTGAGTTTAAGCTCCCAAGGCTTAAACTATTGTCCCCAGCAGTCACTGCCCCTCAGAACTGCATGTCCATTAACTTGTGCTCATCTGGAGTAGACAACCATACAACTAATAAAGAGTTTAATGGAGACTGCCAACAGGCTGTACTTCCAGAAAGCTTGCAGGTCATCTGAGTGGGATTACTTCCTCTTCCCTGAAAAAGTAGGAGTATGGAATACCTCCCATCAAGAATAGGCTGGTGTATGTAGAGGCTGGTGCTGCCATGAGATATTAATGAATTATGGAAAAGGAAGCAGTGGTTGCAGATGAATCAAATATATACAAGACTGAAGACTGAACCAGCTGGTTCTGCGACAAAGGATGATTACAAGTACAGTTTATTTCATGGTTTTATTCCTGAATTTACAAAGTCATTACCATAAACTAAAAATATGTGGATGCAAGTCCTGTATAAACTCTCTTCAGCAACATAGATTAATTTCATGTGTTCAGAGATCTTTCTTTGCCTGCAGGATAGCCGGTTTTATTGATTTTTTTTTTTCTTATGTTGTTGTGATGTGGCAGATTATTTCCCTGCTTGTAATGTATGATTTACCATGGATTGGGACAGGCAATCTTAGCAGAGGTAGAGGCTCCGCAGTTTAAGCTCAAAAATGGAAAGCTAGGGTGAACATACAAAAAGTTGACCAATAAAACAGAAGTTAAACTCTTCTTTCTAGAATATTGTGCTTAAAGTTTCATATACGTGCTGAGGGTAATATACACATGTACAGGCCAAACAGGTATCAGTCATTCACAAATCACAGTCTGTGCATGGCCTGTTAAATTTCTTCACAAATTCACTTCCACAAGTAGCAACCATTTAAGCAGTTTCAAGTAAATTGAAATATGTGGAGATGATTTTTTGTACTTCTTGGGTATGGGTAATCAACACAATTACATATTTAAATACTTGACAATAAAAGCTGCTAAATTGCTGCTATAAGGATGAATCCTTTCTTGACCAGGCTCCCCAAAATGCCAGTAGAAGGATCATGATGATGACTGTGTAAAGGGTATGGACTGTAACAAGATCATCTTCTTGCTGGTGCTTGAACCCAGAGGTGCTGTGCCAGTTCTCACTCCTGTTCCCATTGGTTTTCTGTCTGTGAGCACGGAGAGAATGTATCCTGAGATAAAAGAAAGCAAGATAAAGATTAAAAATTCTTCTTTTTTATTACAGTTCAACAGTGTTTGTAATGAAATCCAGAGTGTGCATTGTATTGTTGACTAGATTTGGGAAAGAGCTCTTCAAACTGTATGGGGCTAATAAAATAATTTCCATAATTGGAAATAGAAAACATTTACCAGCCATTTGGTATTTCTCTCCCACTGACAGGCAGAGACTGGGTAGGGGCTTGTTAGAGGACACAGTGCTCTTACTCTTCACTGTTGATACAGATCATTGTATGAGAAAAAACATACCCTTTCATTTTGCAATATTATGAAAGTGGCAGGATTCAAATAAAAAATTACCAGTTTCCAAAGCTTTCACCCATGGGAATAACCACAGCATGTGCTATGTGAGCTTCCCATCCTGCTCTGACATGTTTTTCTATCTCTGCTTTTCAGAGAGGACTTCTCTCTGCAGTCTGTGTCAAGATATTCATTAGCTAAAGATACCAATCAGGAGTAACTACACAAAGGATATCTGCAGGATTCTCTGGAGAAACATTTGACATTGCTTTGCCACCTTTCCCAAATGATTCGAAACTAGAAGTGTTAGCCTGTGGCAACAGACCTCCAGTTATTGTTATGTCTGCTGAAAATTGCCTGTTAAGCCCCAGTGCTAAGTCCTTGTTCCTGCTGCCTTATTTTTTTTTTTTTTTTTTTTTTTTTTATGAGGAAAAAAAGGCTTAATATTCACAATTCTATCTGAATTGGAATGCCAAAAGGAGATGAATTAGTTTGTGATCATGTAGCTTAGGAATGGGTCTGAGAAGTATTAGATATATTACAGCTCCGGTTCATAGATGTTTCTTCTGTTATTACTGCAGAAGAGTAGGGATTACCACAAATGTTAGTGCAGATACAGTTTATGAGTAAAAAAAAACTTAAAACAAGAAATTACATACATATGCACACTTGGAAGAGAGCTGTCAAAGCTGATTTGTTAAAAATAAAAGACTAGGAAATGCAATCTGCAAAAGGGAATTCATCAATAAAACACAAGTTCTGCAGTTAAGATTTTACATAAAGTAATTGCAGAATTAGAAGTAGACATTTAACATTTGTGTCAGAAATAGCTGCAAATCAAATAACACAGCTCACAATCATCTGGAGCATCATGTGAAGTCCACGAGAGGAATATTTTGCCAATAGTTTGCTTTTCTATTCCTATCTGAGGGGAATGCAGTATGTGCAGCTTACCTCCTGCAGGCATTCATGGTGCCTTGATGACTGGGTTCCCACTGCGTCAGATTTCTTCTTGCAGAGAGGAAAAAAGCCTTTTTTATCCTCTTGTTCCCTTGCACAAAAGGGGAAAATTTTCACTCAGTACAGACAAAAAGAATCTTCCTTCCAAGCCCACGAACTTGACCAACAATAATCTGGAAGCACTTGTTATGTGTCAATGAAAGCTCTCAAATGAATGGTTTCTAGAGCTGATTTTGACATAGTTCTTCAAGAAATTCTCTTGAGCAGTTCACAAGGCAAGTAATGAGTCATCCCAACGACTGGCTTCTTTTAGCTGCTGGGATCTCTTCTTATAAACAGTAGCTCACTGCTGAGATGTTGCCAAATTCATAACACCACAAGTAAGGCACAGATGGAGGGTGCTGCCACTGAAAATTATTTTCTATTAGATCACAGGCTGTTTTGGGGTAAAACTTAGTTCCTTTCTACAACTGCAATTTGGTTTAACTTGGCTGGAGTGAAATTTCAATCCATTGTCACTTACATGTGCTCTAATATTCAAACATTTTTACAAAAAAGTAGGTGCCTTCTTTATAAACTGTTGACGTATAACATGATCACATTCAATAAGCAGTCAATAAGCAATATGTTAGCACAAAAGAAAACATTTTGACATTTAGGGTTATTAACAGTCATATATATCCTATATATACCCTGACCACCTGGAGCCATTAATTAACAAGAGGCTGTGCCCAATAGTTGGGTGTGGCGTGATCAGCTGGGTTAATGGTGGTCTTAAATCCAATGGTCCCATAATTATTTGTAGGGCTTGTGAACAAACACATTTAAATTTGTAGTTTAGGAAGACAGGCCAAAGTCCTTCTTTCCCAAAAGACTTTTTTACATCATCTTTAAACTATCAAAGAAATTTAAAATAACCACATTTCTCATTTAAATGCTACTTTCAGCTTATTGTCACATAGAACTGCTATTAAGACAAATCTGAAACTATAGTTCTGGTGCATTTCTAAAGGCTTATGCCTTTCCTTCATGTAGCATTTATGTTTCTATATGAATAAAACTGTTCCTTTAGTTTTATTAAAACAATTAGCAATTTCCAGACATGTCTTGGGGAATCACTTTACACTCCAGAAAATTAAGACTTGTTCTTGTTCACCCATGTGAGTAAAATTGCATCACTGGAACCAGTGGAGCTACTGAGGACATAGAATCATTCTAAATTATTAGTAATATAACAAATATAGAAAAATAGAAATATTGCAATGACTTGGAGGACGGAATTCGGACATCAGTAAAGAATTACTGAATTGAATCAGTTCTAGATTTTTCAGACCTGATCCTGAGCATATAGGCAGTTACAACTTTTGGACTCTGTTTTCTTAAATAACATATACAGGGTGGTAGATGCACTGAGTTTTCCCTGTATGTATTTAGTTTTCTTGATACATTTCTTTTACTTCAGTCTTAAGATCAGTAGCACAACATATTTGCCTCTTTCCCCATTAGTTTCATCTTGGTTTTCTAGATCTTACTGATGGCTTTCACTTTTTGGCTGAACCAAGCAAAGGGAGGTATGTACAAGCCTCATCTCAGAAGTGTGAAAGTGTTGATTTTTGATCACATGATGCACTCTTGAAATCTCCAAACTTTTATTCTTCTATCATAATTCTTTGTGGAAAATTTTCCCTGTGCAACTGAACGCTGCCAGCCAGGAGGAACTGCTGGGGCAATATGGAGGGAGCAGAGGTGGGAGGTGAGCCAGTTAATACTCAGCCCAGCAGCCTATCAGTCCACGCCATTTACTATGCACATTAGCCAATACATAAGATACTTGCTTTATTCTCAAGTTACAAATGGATCCTGCAGGGTTCCTGCAGGAATGATAAAAAAAAAATACAAATGATCAAGTGGAGAAAGGGGTTATGGAATATTTTATGCATGTGAAAATCTGCAGGTTATAATAAACTATTCTTATGCAGCTGATAAATTCCAGCCCAGTGATTTAGTCACCCCAAAATACTTAAAATACATCACTGGAACACAATTTCTGAGGCCACGCATTATTAGGAGAAAACCATAAGCACTGTGCAGCATTAAATGTGAGAAGAACTGTGAGCAGTGGTGTTTTCTACTAACACAGGTCTACTTTTAAAACTATTTCATCAGTCAGCCCATATTAACTAGCAGTAGTCAGGAATGACATCCAGGGATCTTGCTCTTCACTATGTCACTTTAGGATTAGGTGTATATCCCCTTTACAGAATCACAAGATCCATTGGGTCGGAAAAGGCCTCTGAGATGACAGGGTTCAAGCTTTGACTGATCACCACATTTGACCACAGCAGTAAGTGCCCTGTCCAGCCTTTCCTTGAACACCTCCAGGGATGGGGACTCTATCCCCCCCCACCCCCGAAACAGACCATTCCAGTGTTTGACTACCCTTTCTGTGAAAAAAATCCTCCTGATGTCCAACACAAACCTCCCCTTAACTTCACTTTTGGGGAAGTTAAGTCACTAGGACAATCACACCCAGCAAAAGCGTGGAGAAAGCCAAAGGAATCGGCCCGCGGGCTCCCCCGCAGCCAGCCCGACGGCTGTGCCTGGAGCCACGCCGCTCCCTGGCATGGCACTGAAGCCGAGACCCTCAGTAACACCCACACCCTCCCGAGGCTTTCCCCCCCGCGGCTGCCACCCCCGCGGTGCCGGGCCGGCCGGGCAGTGCATGGCATGGTGCGGGCAGGGGCGGCCTTTGGGGAACCCCTGCCAACTACAGGCCCCAGAATGCACCGGGAGGGCTCGTGTATCCTTCGAACCTGCCAATGAGAGCGCGCGGGGCGCGTCACGTGAGCGGGGCGCCATTTCAAACGCCCGGGCGGGTGCGGTGGGAGCGGTGAGTGCGGAGGTGGCGGTGGCGGCTCCCGGCCCGGCTTTGGTGCCCCCCCGGTTGCTTCTTCGGCACCGTGGGGTCGGGTGGCGTGGCGCTGGGTTTCTAGAGGCTTTCCTCTGAGGTCCGGTGGCAGAGGCGCCGTTGCGGTCGGGGAAGGGGGCACTCGAGCGAGCTTGCGTGAGTTGGGGCGGTGGGAGGTTGGCGGGACTGTGAGCTGTGTAGCATCCCATAAACCACCTTTTCGGTGGTGCCCAGCGACAGAGTGAGGAACAATGGCCATAAACTGAGATACAGGAAGTTTCACCTCATCATGAGGGAGAACTTTACGTCGAGGGTGGCAGAGTACCGGAACAGTCTGCCCAGGAAGGTCGTGGAATCTCTCTGGAGACATTGAAAACCCACATGGACGCGTTCCTGTGTAGCCTGCTCCACGGGACCTACCTTGGCGGGGAATTTGGACTGGGTGATTGCCAGAGGTGCCTTCCAACCCTAACTGTTCTTTGTGGTAGTCCCTAAATATGACAGCTTTCAAAGGAATTGTTTACCCCCTTGCCAATTTGGCAGTATCATGAAAGTCCATGACCGTGTTGGTTTTTTTTTTTTTTTTTTTTTATTTAACATATTGCATGGCTAATTCTGTATTTTCCAGACACAATGGAGGAAGGAAAAGAAATGTCAGTGTGTGCGAGTCATGTGCCTGAAGAAAAACTGTACTGCGTGAGCAATGGTAGGTGGAGAACATGTTGGGATATTCTCTACCTGGTTTATACCTTATTATATCAGTAGGCATCCTGTATCTGATTTGTATCACGTTCTGTGCTCTTGTTTCCTTGGATGGGCTGCTGTTGCTAGTCTCAGACATAGAAGCCTCCTGAGGAGCTTGTGGAGCACAGCTCTGAGAGTTTGTGTAGCACTGACTGATGTCATCAACCTTTCTTCTGTATATCTAATCTGAGCTCCTCCCTCTTCCTTATCTATCTGTCTGCTGCTGATTCAATCAATATTTATGGTATATAATAACTAACAAGAAAACTAATCTTTCTCACTGGCTCCTGCTATTGTCTTGTGGTGGCCTGAACCAGAAAAGAACTGATTGATGGGACAACTGCATTGTCACATAACTCTAGATTGTATATTCTCAGTTATCTTGATTGGAGGCTGCTGATAACATACATTACGTGTTCTTATTATGGATGCTTAGAAATTAGCATTGAGCTATTTCATGATACTTGGGCATCTCACAATTATCATATTCTGCAGTGGGGTGAACTTATCCCTCTCTACAGCTGCCTGACAGGAGGGTGTAGCCAGGTGGGGGTTGGCCTCTTCCCCTAAGCAAACAGTGATAGGACCAGAGGATGCAGTCTCCAGGTGCGGCAGGAGACGTTTAGGTTGGATATTAGGAAGAATTTCTTCACAGAAGGGTTGATTAGACATTGGAATGGGCTGTCCCTGGAGGTGTTTAAGGAAAGACTGGATGTGGCGCTCAGTGCCATGGCCTAGTTGACGTGGTGATGATTGGTCATAGGTTGGACTTGATAATCTCAGATCTTTTCCAACCTAATGGATCCTGTGATATGCACAACAGACCCTTAAATTTCCTGGAACTAAAGCATGTTTTAATTATTTAAACTTGGTAGCTAAAACTTTTTGCCATCTAACATCAGCTTCACCAAATTGTCAAAGCATAATGCAACTATTTTTATTGCAAAAAAAAGGTGACAAAATCCTTGTTACAGTTTCAGACTTTCCTCTTCTGAGTGATGAGAAGTTTGATTTTGACCTTTCACTCTCTTCAACAAGGTAAGTAAAGGTATATTTGCCTGTAAAACCTTCAAAATGGACACATGACAGATGCCAGGCTAAATTATCTTTCTTTGTAGTGGAAATGAAGATGAGGTTTTTGTTGGAGCTGTGGGACACAAAGAAAGATGTATTGCTGCTAGTATGGAAGCAAAAAAGAGTGTGTCTGCTTTTGATGATAAACTCATGTGGAGCCCACTTCAAGAAGAGAAATTTGTGGAAATTTTCAAAGAAGCTCATTTGTTGGCACAGCAGATAAAGACTGGAAGTACGAATGAAGAGACTAAAACAAGCCAATCAGGAGAACAGGAAAATAAGATTATAGAAACATTTGTGGAGGACTCGGAGTCAAAGTTGAAAATACTGAGAAACAAAATGATAGAAAAAAGTCCCAGGGCTGTTAAACGGGAGACATACAATGTGCAGGATAGCCCAGCATATCTGCTACCACCTTGTTTTCAGAAGGCATCGGATAAACTTTTGTCAGATGGCAAAATACATGCTCTTCCTACTCCTCCAAACAGAAACCCTGTAAAAATTTGTGTGTCTCCTACAAAAATCGCCAGTTTGTCTCTGACACAAGAAGAGAAATCTAAGGAAACAAATACAAAGGCAACTGGCAAACTGGCAATGGCAAAACCTTCATGTACACTTGGAAGAAGCAATTTGTTGACTATTGAAAAGGTAAAGTCAGCCTCTGGGCAACGTTTTCTTTAAACATGGCCTTTATGTATTTTAGGAATATTTAAACTACAGTCTTCAAAAGTGAATTTTAATCTGATGCTTCTCTACCTCATAAGGTCCTTAGGCAGGAAACATTATATATAAAAAAAGGAAAAGTAGGGCAGACACTGTGGTATAGTAGCCAAATAGTTTGTTTATTATGACAGTGTAGAGCATCTGCGGCCAAATTTCTGTTGTATTCTGGTTTTGTGAAGATTGTAATTCCTGGGTTCTACTCTAATTGGCTTCTAACACTGTTTTGTTCCTGGTAAAATTACTGCACTGTTACACTTAAATTAACTGTAAAATGAATTACACATTTACTCTGACTGTGTAAAAATGGTTTTATTTGCTGTTAACCCTTGTCGATGGAGGTGGGGAGGGGAACCCCACAATTATTTAGATAGGACAGGAAAATCTTTTAGGTCTAGTTCTGCCCACAACGTGTCTCAATCATGAAAAGCACTGATTACTGGTGTTATACTTGCATATAATACATGTACTTACATATAACCACATATGTGACTTGTGACTAAATACAAATGTATTCTAAGATAGCAAGGAAACAGCTGTGTTAGTGGCTTGTGTGCACAAAGCCCGGTCTCTAGGTAGAATATCTTCTGGATTTTATTGCTCTACATCTTATAGCTTAGGTTCCAATATGTACTGCACATTTTACTGAAGATGTGATATTGACTTCTTAAGAACCATCACCTGTAGAAACTAGAGGACCCTCTGATTCCTCTGTGGTATAAATCTCTTCTTGATTTTAGACACTATAAGAAAAGGCACAGTCTTAATGCTTTAACTAGCCAAATTGTACCCCACTATCTGAACAGTTTTCACGATACCGTCTATCACTGTAACGTCATCCCTTGGAAGCCAGAGTAAAGCAGAGGCGTATTAAACGGAGTCTAATATTGTTGTAAGGAACAGCGGGTACAGTGGGTGAACGTGATTAAATGAGATTTGTGCTGATGAGCTGTTGCAGAACTGTCCAATATCTTGTTTCAAACATGTTCTGGTTAATAACTTAGCAAATACACTCACTATATTAACTTCACGCTGTATTAGTATAAAGACTAAGGACTTCACTGGGTTCAGAGGCTTCTTCAAGGACTGTTGTCTTGGTTTCTTAACAAAATCAATGTGTGTGTGGTTTCTAGAAACAATAGTAGCTTTTAAAATATTGCATTGAAATTTGCAGCTCAAATCAGGAAAAAATACTAGTATTTCTACAAAAAGAGACTTGAACAGCAAGGGATCATCTGAAGATCTAATTTCTGATAAATCTAGTATTGCGTCAGATGTCTTCGAGTCCTCATTCAGCGGCAGTTCTTCAGTGCAAGACACAAAAGCCCTTCCTGCACCAAGTAAGGTAATGACAAGCATTCTTAATATGAAAATAACTTTTGTAATATTCTGATAGAAAGAAAAATTAATATAGTTTACTTTCTAATTTAATTTAAAGCTATACTGTTGTGTAAAACGGTTTTAAGGAAAAGTAATCTAGGCTTTATAATGGCCATTCTTGATTGTGTGGTCTAAGCCTGTAACACTGTGAAATGTACTTAAAGAGCGACTGTAGATGTGATTAACAAGTGTTGCCTTTATTTTTAAAGCACTAGCTGCAGGTAAGTGATCAACAGTTTTCTGTAAGACACAAAGTTTTTGATGTGTGTAGTTAACTACACCGTATTAAAAGGTTGCCATAACTTTTATAAAGGTAGTATACCTACAGCTGTCAGTTGTTTTGAAGCTTTGGGTGCCTACATTAATGCTGCATGGCACTTCACTGAATCACAGAATGACTGAGGCTGGAAGGAAAGAACCTCTTGAGGTCATCTGATTCAACCCTCTGCTCAAGCAGGACCATCTGGAGTCATTTGCCCAGGGCCAGACAGCTTTAGAATATCTCTAAGCATGGGGTCTTGGCAACCTCTCAGGGCAGCCTGTGCCAGTGCTTGGCAGTAAAAAAAGTATTTCTTGATGATCAGAGGTAGAACCTCCTGCATTTCACTCTCCCCTTGCCTCCAGTCCCATCACTGGGCACCACTGGACACTGTCCTTGCAGATATTTTTATATATGGAGATCCACCTTGAGCCTTCTCCAAGCTGAGCAGTCCCAGTTCTCAGCCTTCCTCAGATGAGAGGTGCTCCAGTCCTTTAATCATCTTAGTGACCCTTTGTTGGACTCTTTCCAGTAGCTCCAAATCTCTCATATGGGGGAGCCTGGAACCGGACATAAATCTTCAGGTGTGGACTTGCCAGTGCTGAGTAGAGGGCAGGATCACCTCCATTCATCTGCTGGCAATGCTTCTCCTTTGTGCAGCCCGGGATACTGTCAGTGTCCTCTGGTTCAGCTTGTCCACTAGCAGGGCCTTGGGTCCAAGGGCCTTGTCTGCAAAGCTGCTTTCCAGCTGGTTGGTGCCCAGCATATACTGCTGCCTGGGGTGACTCCTTTTATTCTTTAGTCCCTTTAAGTCCATACTCAATTTGTGACAGGAATAAAAATAGATTTAATGTTCTAGGTCTGTATAATAATCCAGATACAATGATCTGTTTCTAAGAAAAGTCACTTTTTAAACTGTAATCTGAGTAGGGAACTCCTCTAAAATTCACAAATGGAAAGTTATAATACCAAGAAAAATAATGGCAAAATAATGTGTTAAATAGATGGTTTTTTGCTTTTGAATAAGCTATGTTCTTTGATTCAGCCTGGCTTAAGGAAGATGACATATCTGAAACTTCCTGGTGTTGCCAGTGGTCTCACAAGAAGGACTACATCATCATCTTTGTCATCACTTTCCAGTGTGAACTCAAGTCTGAATTCAAGCTTACCCATTTCTCCCATAGTAAAAAAAGGTAATCATTCTTACTATGGATTTGTGCCACAAATCAATTTTGAAGTAGTTAAGCATGTGGGTTTGGGAATGTTTTAATAGTATCCAATATACAAGAGCAGTGAGAAATGTTTTGAATGGAGAATAAAATTTTCTAGGCTTGCCCTGTAAAGCCCTGTGGACTAAAGATAAATGTTAAAAATCTGTAATTTGTAAAAACTAGACTGATGTAAGCCTGATGCCTACATGTGAGGGTCTGACACAGCTAGAAAAGTAAGCTCAGGAAACCTGTTCCTTTTATACATAATCTTCTCTATTATAGCCAAGAACATGAGCTTCTGAATGCTGTAAGCTTGTCTAACTGGTATCAAAGGAAAAAAACAAAACAAACAACACCAAAACAACTGAAATGTGGAAAGAAGGTGGAAGGCCTTGCCTACAGAAACCTGGAGGCTAATAAAAGGATGAGCTTTACCCAAGCAGATTGGAAAAAACACTCTTGGAGATATAAGTGAATACAACCAAGAGGCTTATGCTATAATGAGGCTATCAGTTAGATCCTTTCAGTAAGTTTCAAAGGATCAGGAAAATAGTCTCCTAAAAGTACTGACAGGTATAAGCATCACAGTTTTTGAATATCTATCAAGATACCAAGTTACAGCAAATTTTTTTGTACTTTGCTTCTGGGAGAATAATAATATATTACTAAAAGGTTAGTAAGAACTATTTTACGCAATATAACTGTCAAGATTCATCCTATTAATGAAAGTAACCTACAAACTCAAACGTAAGAACTGTACAGAAAACTGGGAAAAACCCTTGTGGGGTAGTTTAGCCTGTGGCATTAATCAGTGTAACTCAAACTAATACCTACTTGAAAGGCTGCTTAAGGGAACAGTCAGCTATACTGGGAGAAGATGCTTGAAGGGTAACTTGAATCTGCAAGCTGTATTGGCATTCTGTGAATATTCTTCTGCTTGATTGCAGTAATTCAGGAATTTGGTGAGAACACTATAAAATTGCTGGAAAATTTGGGGAGTAAGTTTTCAGTAGTTTGTGTTCTCCATGAACTTGAGTTTGAACATAAATTTAAATGCTGTAAATTGCTATTTTTCTTTCCTGTATGAGTGTAATTATTCTGCTTACTCAAAAACTTAGCGATAAGTGATGATTCAGAAGTAAACTTAACTTTCTATTTCAGGAAAATCAAGCATTTCATCCAAAGTTAGTGTGAGTGGCTCTAGTACAAGCAGGCTGGCCCTTGTCAGACCTACCAGACTGTCATCTCTGCAGGCTGCCAATACTGAGAAATCTAGGAAGCAAGTAAGATCAGCTAGTACTCCCAAAATATCTGGTGCTGTAACCTTGGCTAAATCTTCATCTTCTGCAACATCATCTGAGGCTGCAGGCAGTGGAATTCAGAGACCGAGCTCTGTTCCCAGTCTGCAGCAGCTATGTCAGCAGAATAAAGATGGAAGTGCAACAAAAGGAAGCCTGTGTCCAAAGCCCAAGGCTAGGGTTTTGTCTGTTTCCACAAGTCAGACTAAGGTTCCTGTGAAGACTCAAGGTAAGCACATACTTTGTGACCTCTTTTCTAGCTTGCTTATGAAAAGCAAATGCTACCTTGAATGCTTGTTATTTGTTTCGTTACACTTCTGTCTGCCTTTTGGAAGGAATTAGTATTTTAACTGAAACATCTGTTACTTCTAAATATGAATCCGATAGCAGTTAACAAAACTTTTCTCTTTAGATGCGACACCAAACAAATTGGCACCAAAAGCAACATCATCTCTTGGATTAACATTTTGTGGTACACCTGGAAGGTAGGGCTTAACTGAAAATTAAATTCACTGGGGCATAATTCTTAGAATGTAATGTGGTTGGGTGTTGCAACAGTCTTTAAAAGTTTGAACTTCATTTTTAATCCTTGAGACCCTCCAGGTTAGATGTGTTAATGCCTATTGGAACTGATCTAAAACAAACTAAACAACTTCTCCCACTCTATTCAGAAGAAGGCTTTTTTGCAGTGCTAAATAGACTAGAGTAATTCATAAAAGAATTCTCCTAAGAAGTAAGACCCTCACTATGCTGTGATTATCAACTTTAGGCTGATTGTTGTTCCCTTACTGACGGAAGGGAAGTGGATTTCTATTGTTTGGAGGAACAGTTTTATTCAAACTGTTTCTAGAATGTTTTGGCTAATGCAAAACTTCATTTTCTAGTGCCATGGCAGCCAGCACTCCTATGAAAGCCTCAGAAGATAAGGTCTTTCAGAATTTTTGTTTTCCTGAGAGGCCTGCCTCCATGACTCCTGCCATGAAACCATCTGGCTTACCTACACCTGTCCGTCGCATCTCAGGATTCCCAGCAGTGACCCCTAAGACTGTACCAAGAATGGCATTTTCTCCACATGCTGCATCTCTTCACCGAAGTTCCAGCTTTTCTACCAAAAAGGCTCTTGCAGCTGGGTAATTCAGAAACCCTCATACATTAAATGAGTATTGTAGGCAAACTGTGTCTAAATTAATTTTAATGATGAATCTTGGGTTTCAAAGACCTCTACTAAATGTTAGAATGAAGCATTTGAGCATAGATGCTGTATAGGCCTAATAAAAATTTATATCTTGTGAGTAGTAAAATGCTATAAGCCTTACTGAGGTGAGTCAATATCTGACATTAAAGAATTATAATTTTAATAGGAAGTTATTTGTATTTCTTGAGCTAGGGAACAACTTAAAACTTGTATCTGATGCTCTGTCTGAAAGCAGATTTGGTGTTGGTGCTACTTTGCTATCACCTTCTGATGAAGGAAAGTAGCTGATTTAAAATGCATATTACTTTTAACTTTTGTTTTATACTGTTACCAATGGTCTGTAAAATTACACTTTTTTTAAAGCATCATGCAGAAAGCCAAGAATTTAGTTGACTGAATTTTAGTTTCTGAGCAGGTTTACCTGTGTTTTTGTTTATTATATTTGTTTTCTGTGAAAGTAATGTTGCCTTTTTCATATTATCAGCCCAGCATCTTCTGACAAGGGCCATATATATGTATGCATGCTTGTTTTGTGGCTGGTGCAGAGGAACTGTATTAAAGCAGAAATGATTCATGGCTAGAAAACTCTGTGTCATGTTACTTAGGCCAGATGTCCCAAATAGTCTTTTCTCTCAAGGAAACAATTACTCTGTCTACATTGAGTTTATCATACTAATTAGATTACAGCCTCTGGTCTTCCAGCTGGTGTCAGTACTTCCTTCCAAGCAGGGACTGAAGGGGGTTGCTCAGTGATATGCAATATCAGTGCCTGCATGTGTGAAGTTTAGGCTGCATGGATGTGTCAATTAAGATTAAATTCTTCATCATCATGAAGTCATTAACTCTTTTTCTTTTGCATGGGTAGGCTATACATTTATTGCAACATGAAATATTTTGTGTTTTGGAGGTAACTAGCATTTTTTTGGATGAAATATGGAAATCCTTTTGGTCATTAAAACTTGGGGTAAAAAAAAAAAGGAGAAAATGAAATTAGGGCATTGGCCTAATGATTAAAGAACTCAACTATTGCTGATTTTCTTTTCCCTAGTTCTAGACAGAAACAAGAGAGTAAGACACAGATATCTTCTTCAGAAGGTGATGTATCTCCTCCACCTGTGCTACCTCTTGCTCTTACCTTCTCACCAGAAAAAACTGCTGCAGAAGTAGCAGAAAACGAACTAAAAGAGGCTGAAGTACAAAATCAGCTGACTGAGGAGAAACAACCTGAGGTAAATGACAATACATTTTTCTACAAAACTAAGTTAACTGCTTGAAACCAAATTATTTGAATTATTATTTTCAAGTATAAGCCCCACTTTGGTACACATGAAGTTAAAATGGATTAGCTGTAACTGTGTGCACCCTCTAGTGCCTATTTTTACCACTGAACATATGTTCAGTGTTTCCACTAGGTTCCCATCTCAAAACTAAACAGTCAAATATTTGCACATTTTATATAGAATTTCCACTTTGGTAAAAGTGCTGCAAAATCCTTGTAGATTTGATTAGAAACACTGTCACTGGGCAGATCCTGTTGCAGCTGTAAAGCACTTTTGGGGATAAAAAAACCCAATAACCCAAAACACTGCTGTAGCTATATTCAGTCTCCTAACAGGAGTGCAAATCTGCATACAATGAGGGAGAATTAAACCCCAAAGTCCACATAGCAATAAACTTGGGTAAGTGTTAAGTAATTATTTCAGTGAACACTTTTCCCCTCTCTCAGGAGTGTACTGGCTTCATGTTGAAAGCTGGCACCCCACAGGCATCAAGGAGAAAGACCTGAACTGGTAGTTCTGAAATACTAACCTGACAAAGTGGTTATTGATTTACAAATACTCAGGTGTAGAATAATCTGTAGATTAATTACTTGATGTTATTGCATCAGTATGTTCCTGGTTAGCTTACTTGGTGACAAAGTATCTGTTGGATATAATAATAATAATAATGGCCAGTCTTCGCGAGTGAAGATCCGGGGAAGGTCTTTACACCTTCCAGCCTGCGCATTGGATTTTTTAGGTGAGACACAGTGTGCGCGGAACTGAGCCCACCCTTTAATCCTAAGGTTCATCTGCCGGGGCCAAGCGAGCTTGGACGGTGGCAGCGAGGTCCTTAGGACGTAGATGGATTGCTTTAAGGGCTAACGAGCTCCATCTGCCCGGGAGTGGCCCTGACCGGGAATCGAACCCGGGCCTCAGTGGTGACAGCGCTGTGCCCTTAACCACTAGACCACCAGGGGCTCCATCTGTTGGATAATAGCTCAGTATATGTATGGTGGCAGTTAAGTAATTTAAATATTAAGAGTTATTAATCCTCTGCTTTAAATTTGAGTTAAAACAATTTTTCACTTAAAATCAGATTTTTGTCCCAATGAGCTCTTTTTCTTTGTCTCACTGCATTTTCCCCATTGCTGTCAGAGCAAGAGCTGAGGTTTTTACACTGTGTGCAAACAATCTCTCATGAAAAACACCCAAGCTGTAAATAAGCCTGTCCTGGGATTATTACATCTGTATAAGCTAAATTGACTGCCTCAATGTTTATGAAGGAAGCATGGTGAATAGAGGGGGAAACCTGAAATATTTTTTCTTTTAAAGGCCTTACTAGTAGACATTGGAGTAGACAAGTGTCTCTCAGACACTTTTGAATGTGAAACTAGACCTCTGATTGACCTTTCCAACACTCCTGAAGTGAATAAGATTACTTCTCCAAAGCCTGTGTTCTCTGGGCAGATAAAGGTAAGATTTATCCAAATCTCTTGGTGCAAATATGTTGCAGAAAAATGTCAACTGGCTGCATACCCTTGTTGGCAGAGCAGCTTCAAAATACTGTAGGAACTATTTAATATTAGCTCAATATGTTCAATATGATATACATACTAAGGTGTTCTTAAGTAAAGGACTGTAATGTTTAAAATCAAACAATGTGTTCTAAGCTAGAGCTCAGTGAGCAATCTGCACATTCCTAAGGAAGAGGAGGAGGATGTAGAAAGAACTTAGCACTTAAAGCAGTTGTTATAGAATTAAACTGTTCTGAAGCAGAAAGTGAATGTTGTCTCCAGGAGAGTGGGCATGCTTATTCTTGTTTCTCTCTTTGCACATCTTCAGTTCTTGGCAGCGGCTCATTTTAATCAAAAAAGAAAAGTTGTCCTTACTGTTTAGCTCCTCCCCTAATCCCCTCTTCATTTGGAAGATGTCTATTGGAATCTACTCTAAATTTCACAAGCATTTCTGGGCAAGTGTGTTTTGTACATTAGTGGCTTGAAGGTAGATGCCTTTAGATATTGTGAGATGACTGGAAGTGACTATGAGGATGTGGCCTTTGACAATAGATGTCATTGGGATCAATTTAATATCAAGTCCTTCAAAGTATGTCAAAAGAAGAGGCTTGCAGAAGTCTGACTTCTGGGGGCATGTTCAGAGGAGTTCAGAAGTGCTGTGCCCTGCCTTGGATGGCAGTGTCACTTGAACATGCATAGCAGTGAAACTTAGAAGTCTCTTAGGCTTTTAAGGTGAGTATGGGCGATAACCACCTTGTGAGAGCCTTGTGCTTGACTAGGAATGAGTTTATGTTTAAAAACATGAACATAAAAGCTTGAGTGTGGTGCTTGTATTGTTGTACTTGTATTCTGAATACTAAAAGGAACCCTAAACCAAAAATGGTATCCAGGAAGACTGTTAATAGCTGCTAGTAACGATATACAAAAACTGACTACACTAGTTAAATTGTATTGGTTTTCTTTCAGTTAATTGATTTGAGTTCGCCTCTTATCACTCTGAGTCCTGATGTAAACAAAGAAAATTTGGATTCCCCTCTACTCAAGTTCTGAGCTTGAACTGAAATGAAGACTTCTTGGCAACTGTGATCTTTACTTAGGTGTTACTCTTCATTCATACAGGTTTTTTTTGAAGATGACTATGGATTATCTGATAAACTGCATTAACACAGTAGAATGCTAATAGTCATGATATAGTCAGTCTGATAATGATTTTGTTCATGGATATGCTGCAATGGATGTATTTAAACTATGTTGGTCTAAGGCAAAATATTGGAAACCTGTCTCTTTATTTCCTACTAATTGTCCTTTGATTCCTTATCCCCTATGTACAATGAAGTTTTAATTTAAAATAAATGAGTTGTTTACCAAACTGTTGTACAAAATAGCAGTGTTTTATTACACACTTCAGTTAGACTATTGTAGTGTTTCACTAACAAATGTTAATATGTAGGTAAAGCCTAGTGGACTTTAGAGTGGTGTAGCCAAGTTTGGAAACAAATATTTCATTATTGAATGCCAGTGGAATAAATCAACAGCACTACGTGAATTTGTGATGCAAAGGAGAAAGTAACAGCATATTACTGCCAGATGGTTTAGTCTTACTACTTGCAGGTTAGACAAACTTTCTCACTCTGAAAAGAGTAGAAAAATACTTTCTTACTTGAATTTGCCACATCTGGAGACTTTACATAGAGGGGAGGTGAAGAGAAATGAAAATGCACTCAGTAATACCTCGTAAATGCTGAAGTGACAAGTCTGTCTGGGAGACTAGAGACTTCTGCTATGTATGTACAGCTTAATATATCTATGAAAGTTTGTCAGGAGATGGAAGTCTCTTGACAACTGATACCAGCTGTTGATATTAATTCAAGAAGTGGTGGAAGTTGGAGACAAAGGGTTTAAGTAGGAAGAGGTGTTCAGAGGAGTCAAACATTTGAAGGCAGACTGAAAAGTCTGCTGCCTTGGCTTTATCTGAAGGCACTTGCCTCCCTCAGCACATCTGCCTGTTCAGTGGCTACTGCAGTGTCAGACTCCGTTTTTAATTAAGGCCCTTGTTGAGATGTTGAAGATTCTTAGAGGAAACAACCATGCTTACGTGCTCCTAAGTAGGAACCATAAAAATATGGAATTTGTATACTTGCTTTGGTTATTCTTGCCGTCCTTCTGTGCTAAGCAAGAGAGCTTTTTCAACCAGCACATTTATTAAAACTATTTGAGCCAGTGCTGTGCAGTTAGAAGCAATACTTTAAATCTTTAAATGGAGGGGAGAAATTAGTTTAGTTGCATATTTCTAAATTAAATCAGACGAAGAAGTAAAAAAAACCCACAATAATTTAAATTATGTACTTGTGATTTATTTCTGGAAAAGAGGTAAATGGGTTTATGCCCTAAATTTCAAGGACTTCCAGGAGAGTCAAGCACTCTGTGCTCCTTGAGAACTACATTTTTGTGTATGTATGGCTTTGCAGGCAGCAGCCGTAAATCCTGGTTTTCAATGTGGCCATGACAATTTACAAATGCCATGAAGTCCTCTGCCAGCTGAAACTTGGGTAGCAAGGAGGTCGGTTGGCTGGCTGAATACTTCCACGATTCACCACCTCTCTGGCCTAGCCTAACTCTTCGCAGCAGTTCAGACACCGAGTTCATACCCTGATGTGCCTTCACGTAAGAGCCAAATTCCAGTCTTCAAGGTACAAATCAGCTGCTCAAACAGCGGGAGCGTGGTTAGCGCAGCAGGTCTGCCTGCAATAAACTCTGGCTTACGCAGTGCTGATGGACATCGAGAGCGATGTAAAGTTTTGTTCTGGGTGTGCCCTTACCCAGTTCAGCGTGCCGGGGCTCAGGGCTGTGGGAGCGCGCGCCGCCCGCTGAGGGCTCGGCAGTGCCTGCGCCCGCCCCGCCCTGCGCGCAGGCGCGTTCCGCGCGGCGGTGCGGGGCGGGCCGGGCCGGCCGGGCGGGCGGAAGCGGCGGCGGCGGAGGGGGCGATGCTGGCGGCGGCCGCGGCGCGACGCGTGGCCTGCGCCGTGTCCGGCGGCGTGGACAGCGCCGTGGCCGCGCTGCTGCTGCGCCGCCGAGGTGCGGGGCGTGCGGGGGCGTGCGGGCCGCGGGGCCGGGCACTGCGCGCTCCCGCCGCGCTGCGGGGGCCGCGCGTCCCCTCCCCGTCCCCTCTGGGCCGGTCCCGGCGCTCACCCGCCGCCTCGGGCAGGGCACCGCGGGGAGCGGGGTGCTAATACACATCATCATATTAGACTGCCAGAAGAGCTTGGTTTTAAGTTAGCTGTTAGCTACAGGAAAGAACACAGCCAGGCGATAACTGCACTGTAAAGCCTAGCAGGATGTTTGCTTAGCACGTGCTAATCGCATCTTCGGGAGGAAGCACCCAAGGAAGTCTTGAGAAACAGGTTTTGGGTCCAGGCTGTAAGAATTTAACTTTCTAAGTGATTCTTACCTTCGTTTCATAGGCTACCAGGTGACAGGCGTGTTTATGAAGAACTGGGACCCCCTGGATGAACAGGGAGCTTGCTCCGTTGACAGAGATTGCGAGGATGCTTACCGCGTTTGCCAGAAGCTCGATATCCCGTTTCACCAGGTTTCCTACGTGAAGGAATACTGGAATGAAGTATTCAGGTAGAAACATATTTACAGTAGATGGTCTTTCAGTATTTTAGTGTGGTACCGTGTTATGGTGAAAAGCAAGAATGGACAAATAATGGGCAATGGCAGTGCATTGCAGTATTGTTAATGCTAAGAGGAAGTCCTGAAGCCTGTTAAATATTGGAGGAATTATTTTCTCTCTGATTTGTACTTAGGGTCAGAATTTATATCCTGGTTTTAATATGCTATTTTTTAAATTAATAGAAGATTTCTTCCTAGTTGTGAGTGTGTAGCAGTTGGTTTGTTGCAGTTCATGTCTTCAGCTACCCATGTACTGGCCCAACCTTACTGCAACTTGAAAAAAACCCATTTAATAGGGTGCTATTATTTATTACTGTCTGTGTGCATAACTTAGGCAGTGCATTTTACGTAATGTGTACTGAATCCAGTTTACCACAAAATGATCATGAGCTAGCCTTGCTTCTTTAAACTATGACAAATTTGAAATTGTTTAGAGTCTAAAGGGAGTGCTCAGATTTTCTGTTAATTTGTTACACTTTAAGGGAAGTTCTGCATTGGAAAAGCTGAGAGTTTTTCGTGGGGGAAAGGATGAGAAGGGTCACATTGGTCTAACAGCGTAATTGATCTTTATGCACTGAACAGAAGTACGTAGAAGTTGTTCCCTGATCTTCATCATTCCGCTTTAAGTAGTGCTGTTATTACTGAGGAATAAGCTGGTGCATGTTGAAATGACATCAAGCTGAGCACCAAAACTTTGGGCAGTCTGAAGAAAATAGCAGGACAGCCCTGTTCTGACAGAGTTCACTCCATTTTTCCCTTTTGGTCTGAGAGAATGAATAAGTGTTATCAAGCTTCTTGAGGTGTGTGGGGTGTCCATAAATGAGCCAAAGTTCACAGAAGTTCAGCTTTGCTTTTGCTTCTCACCATTTATTAATACAATGTTTCCAAACATTCCAAACAAGTGTCTTTGTTTGTTTCAGAATCCTTGTTTCTTTACTGTCATCAATGACCTTAAATTTACTCCTCTGGATCTCTCTTTAAAGGGTTATTCATCGTAAAACAGCTTTTGTCACGAGAACTATTCCAGGTCTTGTCTTTTCCATGGTTTGTGCCAAGCCTTTTCCAGATCTTTACATCAGAGAGAGCTCCAGTAGGCATCCTCCATTGCCCTTTCTCTGGTTCTGTGCTTTACTAGAAGCTCTGAACTAATGTGAACCTGACTTTTTACTGAGCCCTTTATAAAACTCCCAGTGTACCGTAAGAGTGTGGTGCTGAGCCAACAAGAGGGAGGCAGCTCTGGGTAGACCCAGGTGATTTAATTATTGAGTTGTCAAACTCAGAATTTCTAAAAAAGGAGTTAGACAAAATAAAGGATACGTTGCTTTATTTTCTATTTATTGATGTAATGTATAACATGAAGAAGCAATTGATTCTGTTCCAGATGGTGAAAAGTAAAACCAAATACTAGGATTGCTGTTGTTCTTTTAAATCCAGTTTGTACCCTCATCTCCTCTTGACTTCAGTCGCTAACGAGGACAAGCAAAATAATGCAGTGATTAGACCTTTTGATATGTCAGGGCATTGCTGTATGCTGGTTTAATTGCATTACTTATTATTTCAATGTTTTCAAGCAAATAATGCTAAGTACTTTAGTTACGCAATGATGTAAAACTACAATGTAACTTTGAAAAACTTTTAATTTCTAGAAGGAAAGAAAAAGGACAGGAAAAAGTATATAAAATTAAGGCCCATGACTAACTGGTAATGGTGACATTATTGCAGATGAAGTTACTGTCTGTTTAGCTAAGACACAGCAACTCCTGATGTGTACTGTACCACATCGCCCTTTGAAGAATTAAATAGGGTCATTTAATTCTGAAAGTAAGTGTTTCATAAGAGATGAGTAGGATATCCACAGTGGGCAGCTGCATCTGCCCCAAGGGAGTATTAATTTAATAAAGCAGGGTTACAAGATTTTGAGTGATCATTTGACCCTGTTCTCAGTGCACTTTGGAGAAAATCTTCCAAGCATTGCTTTTTTGCAGCTTAAAATCTAAGGGGTATTTTATTTCTGACATGAAATGCTTAGTGTGAGTGGGACTCAGCTTCTCATGTTTAAACAGATCATCCAGTCTCAAATAGTATTATGCATGTTAATGATTTTGATAGACATTTGAATCTTTATTTTACAGTGACCTCTTAAAAGAGTACGAATTGGGAAGGACGCCTAATCCTGATATTGTGTGTAACAAGCACATCAAATTCAACTACTTTCTGCATTATGCTTTGGATAACCTTGGTAAGGAATTTTGAAGTGTTGTCAGTACAGAGTGTGTGCCCTGGAAATGCTTAAAGGATACAAACTCTTTAAAAACTGGGGAAAAACATGAGTTTGTTTGCATGCCTAACTCACATATCTCTGCGGTAGTATTTCGATAATTGCAAAGTAATTGGGTTTAAGTTTGCTTTTACAAATAGAATCATAGAATGGTTCAGGTTGGAAGGGACATTTAAAGGTCATCTAGTCCAATCCCCTTGCCCTGGACAGGAACATCTTCCGCTGGATTAGGTTGTTCATGTGTAGGAACAGATTTAATTCAGGGACGTGCATTGACCTGACCATTAAGTTTTACATTCTTAGGTGGTCCTTAAAGCACAAAAGCACAAGTACTGGCATGCTGGTGAATAGCTTACATTATTTAAATAGCAGAAGTATGACTATTGTCAATGTAAGATTCCTCTATAGGTCTTCTTATTTCATTGCTTTCTGCCTTTCCTACTGGATGTTTGCAATCCTGTTTTGAACTGTGAATCTCAAGTACATGCCTTTGTGTTTTGTTTGGCTTTTTTTTTCCTTGATAGGAGCAGATGCAATTGCTACTGGGCATTATGCTAGGACCTCCTTAGAGGATGAGGAAGTGTTTCAACACAAACACGTTAAAAGACCACAGAAGCTTTTCAGAAACCGTTTTGAAGTTAGAAATAGTAAGTGGTGTCTTCGTTTCATGTTCGTCCTAGATACAAGAAGTTTATACTTGATGTCACAGAATCAGGGATGTTTGTTACCTTACACAAAATGATTACCAGTTAAACCCAGCCTTTGTAGAAGGTTGTTTGTACAAAACAGGGTATTTACATTACTGAAAATGACCCTGACTTGTCAAGTATTCCATTTTCTGTTTTAAAAGTCAGGTGAATGTCTGATGTATAGTGAGAAGCATACCATACCCAAAGAGCAAGAAACTTGCAAACTATCACTATGCAAAGCTGCCTTGGTGATGTTTTTGCATTACAGGTTCTCCACTTTCATTTATTTGTTCTGGACTTAAAGGGGTTTATTAGTTTCTTTGTTTTAATTTTATTCCTGGAAAGTTGAAATGGCCCCAGCAGAACCAACATACACAACTATACACGTGAACCAACTAGACATGTGACAGACTATGATTCACCGTTGTATTTTGTGATGTTCTAAACAATCTTCTCTGCCTTGTTACTGAGATTTTGTATTACTAGTTGAGACTGAACTATTGTGTTAATTTGAATCAAGAAAGACACGAGTAGTGTTTGTACAACAGCAGAGCTGTTCGCTTTTAAAGGGAGTGGACAGAACATGACTGAAAAACTCTTAATTTTATTTGATCAGGACAATCAGAAGATTGCATCTGTTTTAAAGAAAAAAGTCAAACTCTCATCTCTGAGCATTGGGAATAACTCCACTGATTGTTCAAATCATTGATTTATAGCAGGGAGATTTCAGGGCAAAACAGTGTTTTTTTGAGGAACAGTATACTCTAAGGTATTTTAGTCTTCCTTCTCTCTTTCACATAAAATGTGAAAATTGTTTTCATTTTTTTGTGCTGTTGATGTCCTTTCCAGTGACACATGCACTGTTGCAATAGATGAGGCAATGTAAGACTTTGTAAGATTCTGTACAGTACAAAATCTGAATATTTCTAGATTTCAGTGGTGAGAAAATACCCAAACATTTTCAGTTAGATTTTGAAAAACTTGTACAATACTGTCTTTAACGTATATTTGGAAATAATAAAACTAAAGTGGTGATTGAAAAATACTAAAGGAAGTTGAACTATTAATGGTTATTATGTTGAGATGCTTTATGTGTTTCACTTTGCAGCTGTGAAACTCCTTCAAGGGGCTGACCTCTTTAAGGACCAGACCTTCTTTCTAAGTCAGATCTCACAGGATGCTTTGAGGAAAACCATTTTCCCTTTAGGGGATTTAACAAAAAGTTTTGTAAAGAAGATAGCAGCAGAACATGACCTTCATCATGTGCTAAAGAAAAAAGAGGCATGGTAACACTTAAAACTCTTTTGATTTGTATTTCTGTCTAAATCAGACTTCCCTGAACTTTTTGAACTTTAATCTGTGACAACTTGTCTGTTTCTGAGCACCATAATAGAATAGGCTGGGAAGCATTTTTCATTGCTGTCTACTTCCTTAAAAGTGCTTTTATAAGAGTTTGTGGTTAGTTGTGTATTTTAGCTTGCAGATGTTTTGTCTGCTATTGTATCTCAGAAGAACTAAGGTGAAGGTGAATGTGTAGGATGCTGTGAGCCTGAAGGAAAGCATCCTCTGTCACAGCAGTGGAGGAGCCTTTGGTCTTTGCTCTCCATATCCTTTAAAGGCTTCCTCACTGTAATTGTTTTTCAGTATGTCTTTAGAAATTGAATCATACTGTTTTTCCACAGTTACTTTTAACAAAAAAATAGATAACACTTCATGAGCTCATCTTAAAAAATGTAGTGAAGGCAGTAGTTGTATTGTTGATGCTGTCTTGATTGCTTTTCATGTTTATATTCATCCTCTGTAAATGGGTATTTGAAAAATGTAGGCAGTAACTGAAAGGAAAAAGCAAACCTATTTGTTTTTGAAAGTTTTTTTTCAAGAGATAGACCATTACTATATAATTTTGTTACTTTTGTGCTTTAATATGAAAGAGACTGCTGTTTTTAATATACGCATAATACAATCACCAAGGTTAATGCATTTATCTACTGATAAGGTGTTCTATTTCCTATTATTTCTCTTATTTTCTGAGAGCTTACAGCTCTCAGTGATACTGTATAGAATTAGTTTACTGATGTTGGAGCAGATGTGGTTTCGTTTATGAAATGCCTAGGATAATTTGGGATACATGGAGGGGGAAAAAACCCATCTTGGACAGATTATTAGTTGATATTGTTTCAGATGTTTTTCTCTGCTTTTATGGATTCAATTCCATGTTTCCTTTTCAGAGTATGGGAGTCTGTTTCATTGGTGAAAGAAACTTTGAAAATTTCCTTCTTGAGGTGAGCAGCACTAAATCTGTAACAATCTTTGGTTTATTCTGGTGTTCAGTTTTTATAAAAAAATCCCCAGTTTGTGGGCAGTTTGTGGCCCACAGTGAGTAGTGATGTCCCATCTCCCTTTGAAGTGCCAGGCCTAGGCAGAAGCTCACAACAACAGCCTGTAGGAAGTATCTTGCCTCTCCACCAGCAAACAATCACTCACTTTCTGTAGCAAAAGGAGTGAACATGCACTTCTTTGTGTGCCAGGCTCCGACAAGTGGTTGAGATGTGAGTGGGGCAAATGGCTGAATCCTGCTGTCCCCAGGCATGTGTGAGAATGGGGGAGTGGAGCCTAGAATTATTTTTGAAAGGGATTGCTCTTAATACTTTTCTCTCTAGAGCAGCATCAAGGAAAAGTCTGTAAGCTGCTTGGGCAGAGTTTGCTCCTTGAAAAGCTCCCTTTCAGCTTCAAGAGAATGTAGTGATGGAATCTGAAATATACTGTGAGGTTTTCTTGGGCCATCTTGTGATTTATCTCTTCCTCTTTGGTAGTATTTGGAACCTCAACCGGGTAACTTTGTTTCCATTGAAGATAAGAAGGTGATGGGAACACACAAAGGTAATTGCCTAACCCACCTTAATAGCTTGCTTTTAGGTAAACAGAACAATACTGTTTATATTTAGAGGCACGAATTTTGTGAAATTCCAGAGAAGTCTACAGGTTTTCCCCAGTTTGTGGAAAACTTGCTTTACACAATAGTAGAGCTTTGAAATACAACTGATTATTGATTGATTATTCCATGTTTCAGTAAAGTAACTGATAATTATTAGGGTTACTCTGTTGATACTGATTGTTATTTTAATACCAAGACACCATTGTTCCCTTAATTCTTTCAAAATGACTGTGCTTCAGTTCCAGGTTCTTTAGTACCTAAACTTTGCAGAAAAATTGCACCATGCACCTCAGTGATGCTCACCAGGACATCACCAAACGTGGGCAGCTTAACTTCCCTTTTCTCCTGTGTGTCCTTCCTTTGCTGTCCTCAGTCTGAGCAGCCACAACCGAGCTCCTCTCCCAAATAATTTGTGGTAGTAGGATGTTGCACTGGTACATAAAAGTAAGGGAAACTGGCAAGACTGAATGGTAGCAAAACCACAAATTGAAGCTGAAACAAATGTTTTTCTTTTATAAAACCTAAGAATATTTCTGCTTCAGGTGCAGATGAAAACTTTCAAGTAGATGTTAGTTTAGTTGGTAATTGCCCCGCTTCTCTAAGACAGCTTGGTTTGTTATTCTTTGTTTAGTGGTAAAGTTTTGCGAAAATTATTTTAGTGTATTTTTCTGAAAATAAAAGATTAAGAGTTGCTAGTAGCTTTCCATTTTCATCTTTCCTTAGGTTGGTTCCTCTACACAATAGGCCAGAGGGCTCGGCTGGCAGGCCTCCAGGAAGCTTGGTTTGTTGTAGACAAAGATGTCAGCACTAGAGATGTCTATGTGGTGAGTTAAAACTCTACTGTTGCAAATGACTAATGCAAGCAATTTTGTGTCTGCTGCTGCATGGAATGTGATCCTAAGCTGGGCAGAATTCTTGGCTTTTCTCTTGGGGGAAACAAGAACCAACTAATATAGCATCAGTCAACATGAAACATCTTATCCAAAGGGGCTTTTCTTGAGTAGCAGGTTGGTTTAGATTTTGTCATAGAACTTTTCCAAACAAAGGGCAAATACTGAAAATAATCAGTCAGTCTGCTAAGCTCTCATTTTCTACTGTAAAGCATGAGGGTTTTGTTGTAGTTAGTATGATAATAACTTCTATAAAATTATGAAAGTTTTTATAATAAGGTTTATAAAAGGTGTAGTATCTTTGTTTATGTTTATGCTGCTTTGCTTTTCTAGTAAAATAATTAGTAGGCAGTAATACAGTTTTATAATTTTGAAAACAGAGGCAGAATATATATAATACGGCAAATAATTGGTGTGTTAATGGCTAATCATATGAGATGACTTGGAGTTGTGCAGCTTGCTAGCACTGTTAGTGTTTCTTGCTGTTCATGCAGTTGTTAGTCTTGTTTGATACTGATGTGATTATAATGAAGGTGTTCTGCTACTTGTTGATGTGCCAGTGCTGGTGGGAGACCATAAACAAATGAGAATTTGCCCTACAGTAAGGTTGTGTGTGTGCAACACTGTTGTTGGGGATGTGTTCATTTGGGAAATTGGAGAAGAGAGAGGTAGCATCTTGTTGAGATAGGAGAAAGGAGAACAGCAGACTTCTGAACACTGCCTGAAGAAGGCAGAAATATGATTGAAGGGAAAATAATACAAGAAGTGACGTGACTTTGAGGTGCAGAAAACTGACAAATAATTCAGGCTTACTTTAGCCTACTTGAAGTGCTAATAAATGCTTGCTTTCTTACTCATTTTGCCTTCATTTTGTTATGGCTTGATGCTTCCTCTGTATTTCATGTTTTACAAGTTATACACTCTGGCAAAACCCTCAGCATTAAATAAACATGTCTTTTAAGGCACCATCAAGAGACCACCCTGCTCTGTACAGAGACCTCCTGCGGACGAACCGAGTGCACTGGATAGCAGAGGAACCTCCAGCAGAGCTTGTTAGAGAGAAGATGATGGAATGTTATTTCAGGTTTCGGCACCAGATGGCACTGGGTAATCAAACCTTGTTTTATTTTTTGTTTTGCTTGGTTTGTTAAACTCTGGTAGCGTGTTAATGTAGTTTTGCAGAAACTGTTGAAATGTTTTGGCTTGTCTTTCTATTTCTATAGTGTCTTGTAAAACAGTATCTTGACTTACATCTGTTAAGCCTAGTTATGAAGGTTTTTTAATGTGAACATAAAAATTAACTGTCAGATGTTTGGTCATTTTCTACCTAGTGCCTTGTGTCCTGACTCTAAACCAAGATGGGAGTGTGTGGGTAACGCTAGTGAAGCCAGCAAGAGCTATGACGCCTGGACAGGTAAGTTATTAGAAGTAGTTTTCTGTCTTTTTTTGTGTTTTCGCTGATCTGGCTAATAAAACAGAGTAGTTTTTTTATTAGCTGAAGTAATTAATTTATTATTTAAGTTATTGTTTTGTGTGTTTTGGTTTTTTTTTAAGATTTAGTTTTTTAAGATTTAGTCAGAATAATTGAATGTGCTCACTGTCCAGCAGGTCTTGCAGAGCCTTGAGTTGGTCACTGTGCTGTTTGCAGCTGTGAAAAGACTCTCCCTGTGTTTGTCTCCTAGTTTGCCGTGTTCTACAAGGGTGACGAGTGCCTGGGCAGTGGGAAGATCGTGAGGATGGGCCCATCTGTGTATACCATGCAACAGGGCAAAAACCGAGGGGAGAATCCAAAGAAGGAAGAGATTGACAAAATAGAACCAGCAACGTAACACGTGGCATTGTTTATGGAAGGACTTTGGAGAATTTGCTGCCTGAGAATAATAAAAACTGTAATAAATGTGGCTTCTACTGATTTCTGTGTTCTTAAGGCCAGTTGACTGTGAAGTCCCAGCTCTTGGCTGTTTAAATGAGTTTAAAGCCATTTTGCTGGGCTGTGTGGTGCTATTTATGTTAATACGTATCAAAGGATGTCATAAATTGTTAACTGTAATAGTACCTACACATGCAAGAATTTTAAGATAAAAATCGTGTCTGAAATCATAAATATCTCTTTTTCAGAAATTAAATGCCTTTTTTCCCCCTTATTTAAAGGTACCTCTCCCTAGTAAAGTACACGTTGTTTTACATTAAATGTATGTTTGTGCTTTGAACTGAGGAAAAGAAGTGAAAGGTTTTCAAATTCAGCATTTTGAATTAACTCCAAGCAAGAGATATTTATCTTTCATTTTATATAGTTTTATAAAAAATGCTGTGGATTCTTAAACTGTATTAAGTAGTGGTTTCACATGTTTACATAATTCAGAATTACAAATCTTAGGGACTTAAAAACAGTCTGGAATGCTAAATGTTTTCACACAACTGACTGTTAACTGCTGAGGGCTGAGGCTGTTTGGTTTGTACCCTGGAGGAAAGAGTGCATTGTTGTGCTTGAGAAAAATGCAAATTCAAAGGAATTTCCTTACTGTGTATCTAACTTAATATAGACCTGATAATAATTGGATCTTGCCATATCTCTAAATGGAGAGGTATTAGGAAGAGCTGAATACCCCACCAAATTAATCTCTGTTTATAAGAATTGGGTGCATATTGAGGACACCCTAAACTTATAATAAAACTTGATAACACAAGTCAACAAAATTTAATTCCTGTCTTTTAACATGATAACTGTCTCCAAAGTACAGCTCTGCAGGAGTCAGACTTTCCAGGTGGGTGTAGAATTTTGAGATTTACATCCACTCTGGGCAGTAGGAAAGCTGTAGCATGAATAGATCTTTTCAGCAGATCTGAAGGCTTGGATTACATGTACATCGTTTTCTGTTGTCTTGGTATCTTCTAAGAATTCCTTTTGTTCCCTCTGCTAAGAAAAGTAAAAGGGGAGAAGACTTTTCAATGTCTACCTTCTGGTCTAGCAAAGTTCAGGGAGCCCTATGGAAAACCCTTGACTGTTAAAATCTTACTTGGCATTACAGTAGATCTGCTTAAAAGGGGAAAACCATTCTTTTTCACTGGTGCCAAAATCAATTAAATTTAAAGTCTTGTCTTTAGATCTGCTGTCCATCCATGCACAGGTTAACAGTAAGGATGATTCATGCTTCATGTGAACTGATTTATATTAGTTTAGTTGTTATAGGTCCTGGACATGACTTTTATGTAGTTTTATGTGATTACATTGCAAAATGTAGAATTAATTAAGGAGTTAATGCTCTACATTGTCCTCATCTGAGTTTTGCTGCAAATGTCCCAATTAAAATCTTAACAAATGTTTTGTGTTGTATTAGTGTGGTTTATATTACTATGTCATCTCACAATCTGGTCTGGTAGAGATAGATTCAACTGTGAGGACATGAAGAAGGAGCCACCTGTGACTCCTGGATTTATTAAGGTGTCTACAAGATTATTTCTCAGAGTTGCCTAAACCTGTCTGTTTCTGGGCCTGCCCAAACCCACTGAAACATGTCAGCCTGGAGACATTGTGGTGTTGAACTCTGCCTGGAGCTCATGTTGAAGGAACCAAGATCCATACAACTGGTTCCCATCACCCTAGGGTTAAACTCAGTTGCTCTTAAACAGTATTCTGAACCTGGTCTGAAAATGTTTTCTAGGCAAAAAATCTACTTGCTGGATTTGGATAGGCTTTGCAAATGCTTTTAGAACAACAACAAAATCACACAGTGGTTTTGATAAATTTGCTGTTTTTTTCAAGAAAATGTTCATCCTACCCTATAGGCTCAGTAGTTACTTGTGGTTTTCTGGGTTTGAGCATTGCTTCAATGGCTTCAATGATGGGTGGAGCTGCTGAGTGGTTTGAGCTTGTCTGTACTGCCTGGGTGAAGAGCTGCTCGCTGTGAGGATACTGAGAAGGCACCTCACTCCAAGGATGGTTCTGTTATGCAGGAGAATGTGTTTCCTGCAGCCTGAACGTGTTTCCATAACATTTGAGGAGAGAAAGACTTTTGTCACCATTCCTCAGCTCTTTCTTTTTTTTTTTTTTTTTTCTATTTTCTTTTTATCTCTATCAGATAAAAAGGGCTTTCTATAAATCCCACTCTGAGGACAAGTTTTCCTGGTGTATTATCCCTGTGATGGCTTTGCTGATGAATTGCTGGTACAATGCCTGGTGCATCCCAAGCCCACTGGATTCAGGGCTCTCTCTTGGCCTCAGGCACAGTCAATGCAGTAATTTTAAGTGATTTTAACACCTTTATGGTGAATTTAGGAGTTCTGGGTCACAGGTTTGATGAGAGCCACTGAGCCAGTGCCTCACAGCAGGAAAGGGTAGCCATGTCCTTCTCGTAGCATAGCTATGGGATGCAATGAACGTCTGCTACAGCTCCTGCAGGACAGAGGCTTTTTACATATGCTGTGCTTCCCTCTTTTTGTTTAAGCATCCTTTACATTGGATACAGTAGCAATCCAGGATGGCTAATCTGGAAAGTCATAAGTTAACATGACGCCCTTCAGTGCAAACCTCTCTAGCAATGGTCTCCATTCACTTTTAAGGCTCAGGGACTTTGATATTTATCATCAGAGCTCAATGTCATGGTTCTGCTGATGAATCTTCATCTGAGGTAGAGGTGAGTATGGGCTGTGTTTGGTTAGAGCAGACTCATTGTCTGAGAAGGGTGGAGGCTGCTTCTCAGCTTCTGTGCAGCACAACCTCCTGCTGTGGTGATAAGAAAAGACCTTTGACATCACGAAGTGATTGCTGCTCTTGCTCCCAGTGAACCTCACCATACTGCTGGGAGCTAGGAATTAGTGGGCATTTGTGAAACTCAAATTGCAAATAGCTTCTTGCATGGGATGTTTCACAACAGGTTGCACATGTCGAGCAACACAACACTTGTATGTTTAAACCAGCATTTCCAAATAGCTTGTACTCTTCAGAGGCGTTGGTACATTTCTCTTTCCATCCCATGTGCTTCTCCTGGATAAGGGTCTCAACTGCTGACCTCCTGCATGAGATCTCATACGTAGGGTCTTTGGTCAGGGGAATTTCATTATGCCCTGCATGGGTACACAGTTTCTCAGGGACATCTGGCAGAGCAGCCTCTAGAGGCACATTTCTACGGGTGGAGCTGGCTGTTTACCTGCAAGATGAGCAGCACCATCACCATTTCTGACCGTGATTGTAACAAGTGTGTTGTTTCTGTAACACCAGTCTTCTCACAACCCGTGTGCAGTAGTGCTGAGGGCAGTGCCTGAATCCCGTGCTCCAGCCTGCCCCAGGGCTAGCAGCCTGCCCTGACCCGATGGTTGTGAAAATGCACATGGGCACTGCTATAACAACTTGGAAATAGGGAAGAAAAAGAGTGAGGTGAGAGCAGAGGTTGGTGCTGGGGTCAGGCAGCCATGCTTCCTACAAGGGACCATCACTGACACCATCGCTCACACAGCCTTTGGCCAAGCTTAGGTTTGAACTGGGTAAGAGCAGTCTGACTGGCAGGTGAATTTTTTTTTTTAAATCTATTACAGAAGAGTAGCATCAACATGCTTTTTAAAATTCACTAGTTTTTCACTTTTTTTGTCATTTTTCTGCCACTTGGGCAACAAATTGCAAGCAGGTTGTTTCAAGTTGTCATTAAGCTCCTCAGGTCTTGAAATATTTGGTTTCAAAGATTCAGATGAATTACTACTTAGAAAAAGATTTTTCCCTTCCAAAGCAGAGAATGTGATAACAAGATTAGGATCATGTAACTGAAAAATCACGACTCATGTGAGCTAAGGCTGGGACTGAACTGAAATCTCTCTTGTGCCCTATGAATATGTTTGAAACCTGTGTTGCTGAATGTAAAATGGCTGAAAAATTGCACTCCAAGTACAGTTCTATTCCAGAAGTGCTTGTGTAAAACTTAATTGCATTCCTAGCTTTGCTGCTTCTTGGTGGTATTCCTGTCCCAGCTGGTGCTGCAGAGCTGGAGGACAGGGCTGTGCCCAGCAAGGAGAGCAGGCCTGTCCTCTGTTCTGTTCTGTTTTCACCTGAATAGGATCTTTAGGGCATTGAGATGCTGCACAGGCATGGTGAAGGGCCTCATTCACACTATGGCAGCACAGCATTTACAGTCCAGCAGTAAAAGCTTTGGCTCTTAATGTTCCGATTGGCTTTTAGGACTGAGAGAATCTTTCATCTTCCCACTTCAAAATCAAGTGCTCATGTGCTTTAGCTGCAAACCACAGGGAACAAAGCTGATGTTGTTTTTATAAAGCTTCCCCCTTTTTTAGAATAGAACTATCTTTTCAGCATACTTACAAGCAAAAAAGTAACAATTTTTTAGATGCAACATTTTAATTCATACATATATATATATATATATATATTACAATTCATCCCTCTGGTCAAGGCTGATCTCTCCCTAGAAGCTGGGAGATGACTGCGTGCAGCCTCCTGTACAGACTTGCCCCTGCAGGCAATGAGATGGGACTGGAGTGAAGATTCTTAGTGAAACTTTCACTGCCTGGAGTGGAATATCAGTCATGCTGTTTCAGAGTTTAGGATACCACTTCCCCTTCCAGCTTTGTTCCCAAACCACAATTTTCAAATTTCTCTTTCTGCAATAGAAGAACCCTTTCAGCTTGGAGACTTCAGCACACGAAGGTCCAGCAAGGGTCTCTGCTGCCCCTTCTTTGTGTGGAACGGTGTTGGGTTCTGCAGCCAGGGACAGTAGAATGAGCTTCAGAGGGATCTCAGTGCCACTAAACAGCCTCAGGTCAGGCCATGGGAGCATGCAATGCTGCCTGCTCTGCAGCCATGCCTTCTGCCAGATGGATCCCCTTCAGAAGATGGAGCACATGATATGGAGAGTGCACAGCAAAGTGAGTTTCCTGGCTGCTCTCCAGGAAACCCATTAGCATGGGACTCCCTTATCAGTCACATTTCTGGTACTGTCCAAAGAAAAGAAAAGGCTGAGGTGTTGCCACAGCTGTGAGCCAGTCTTGATGGGAATGATCACCAGAGATCACAGGATCACAGAATCATCAAGGTTGGAAGAGACCTTCTAGTCCAACTAGAAGGTCCAACAAGAGATCATCTAGTCCAACGGTCAACCCTGAATCACCATAATCTCCCCAAGTGCCACATCCGGATCCCTCTTGAACACTTCCAGACATGACAACCCTGCCACCTCCCTAGGCAACTTATTTCAATACCTAAACATTCTTACAGTGAATTTTTTTGTTCTAGCAAGATGAAGCCCTTCCATCTCCTGCCTGCTGGTCCTGATACTAAAGAGCACCTCTGGAGGTCTGGTGAGCTGGAAGCCAGGAAGAAGTTTCTGAAGGCAAGAGGCTGTTCAAGGGAACAGCTCATGTGGAGTGAGACTACAGTGAAAACACTGTGTGTGGGCTGAGGAGCTGGAGCCAACTGATCTGCCAGTAAGGATAAGCATGGATCAGAGAAAGTCAGGTTGCAACTGAATATTTCTTGGAATGCCTTAGATGCTGGTTCTTGAAACAAATCCTGATTGTTTAAGTTCTCAAGCAGAGAAAGGCCAATAGCCTCGACTACTACCAAGGCCAAAAAAACCCCCAAAACTGAACAGGTAAGCAAATGACAAAGCAAATTCTTGCATATTCCATGCACAAAAAGGAGAAAAATGAGTGAGGGGGTAGTTCCTGGTCTTCTGGACTGGAAAATGGGTGTGTTATGAGCATCATTGTAGCATGTACAGTTGGGAGACGGTGACCATAGGTGAAGAGGAGCCCCACTGATGAGGTACATACTGGCAGCCATGCATAGGTTATCAATAGAATTTTAAAAATGCTTCCTCTGCATTTATGTGTATTTACATGCTTTAATGAACTGAACAAAATGAAATTATCTATGATAAATGCAATAATCACACAAACGTGGCATGCACTGTTGATACAGCGAAGCGAGGTGCCATTTTCAGATTCAGCACCAGGAGGCACCAGGACATCACATTCATCCCTCCCAACTGTGGACAACATTGCTGGGAGATGGTGACCATAGCAAGGGCAATTAACACATCCCTGATTGTGACTTTTTCCTGTTTTTTTTTGACTTTTGCTGAGTCATTACCCTGGAAGAATTGCCCCTCGGTGGGTTTGCTCATGGCAGGGATAAAGCTGCCCAGTCATTTCAGCACACTGATGAGCCAGCTGAAGAGCAGCACCTCTTAAGATCCAAACTCCCATTGGGGCTGAGCAGCAACCATCGTACTGGTCAGGCAAGTGACAGCCCCAGCAGCAGGGAAAACACACACTTTTTACACTGACACAGTTCATGTTCCATCTACTCTCCATCTCCT